ATTGGTCTTAAAGGTACACCTTGTTTGTGGATTTTAGGTAAACCATACAGACTAGGTGTGGCCTCCCCTGGGTACAGTCTGTGGTACAGAATACGGTCAATAGCCTTGTCCTGCTCCAAAATTTTCAGGCAATCTATTAACTTTTTCTTGTAACCACTTCCTGGATCTCTTTTCAGAGGTTCATAAGTGGTTAAGTCACTAAGGAGTGTCATAACTTTCTCATGATAGTCTTTCTGGTTCAAAATCACTGTGCACCTTCCTTTGTCTGCTGGGAGAATGATGATGTTTTTGTCCTTGCTAAGAGTGGTGAGTGCATCCCTCTCCTCTCTACTGATGTTGGAAGGTGGTGGTTTGGCATTGCTGAGGCAGGCTGAAACTTTGATTCTGAGCTGTTCTGCTTCAGCTTCTTTAATTTTGTTGTTGCGGATGGCTGACTCAGTAGCTGTGATCATCTCTACCAGAGGAATTCTACTTGGTGCAACCGCAAAGTTCAGTCCCCTGGCAAGAATCTCTGTCTCTGGCTGGGTGAGCTGTCTGTCAGATAAATTCTTCACCCACTTTTCTGTCTCCCTGGCATGTAATTGACTACTGGAGTGTTGTCCTACACTGAATGTGTTGTTATTGGGATAGTGATGGTGTTGATGAGTTATTAGTAAGTTAAACTTGTTTTGTTGTCGAGTCTTGGACTTGACATGCTGTGCTAAGCGTGCCTGATCTGTACAGTCCAACACTTGCTGAAATGTGGTCTGATCTAGACACATAGTTAGTTTCTGTTTAATGTGCTCTTCTTTGGCCTTCAAGGCCTCAATAGTAAAATTGGTCTGTCTCACCCGTTCATTCAGCAGCTGGGTCTGTGCCTTCTGAAGGATCTTGCTTGCCCAGTGCCCGCTGACCGAAGATTTTAGTTCCAGGCTCTTGGGAATGATGCCACTTTGTCGACATCTGAGGTTGAATCGCAAATGGTTCCTGTAGTCTGCCCTCTTCCTTGCTGTTTTCTCAAACTCTCTAACTAGTTTGAGGCAATCCTGGCCAAAGTGGTTCAAAATATCCTGATGCATGCTCAATAATCCAGGTAGAAAAATCTAAAAAAGTTAAATCTGGTCCTCTGGACATTCAAAAAAACCAAAAAAACAAAGCAAATCAACAAAAAAATGTAGAAACGTTTCGTCTCTCATCCGAGAGACTTCCTCAGTCTGAGGAGCTGTTTTCAGCTCAGTCTCTTAAATAGCACCTAATAAATTCACTTCAGTCTTCCAACCCTCTTGTCATTAGATGCATGTCTCTCAAGTTAGCAAGCTAATGCTTAGATAACCTACCATTGTAAAACTTTAGCCAGAACAATAAATATAATGTGGAGTTAAAATAAATCAGTGTTAGTAACGTTATCTTTGTCATCTTCAATGAAATACATTATTTGTCTGAAATCTTTACTTCTCTGCCGCTGTGGTCAAAGCTAATTAGACCTTCACCATATGTGACTGACTGTTTAAATAATGAACAGGAAAGGATTGTTTCTTTGTTTAATTTATCTTTCTGCAAAACACTTTATTGAACATCAGATCTATTTCCTCTAAATCCCTGTTAGTTAATGAACTGATAACTGATCATCATAATGATTTATTCTGTCTGACAGGAATCTGGCTAAAACAGGAAGATTTTATTACAAAGTAGTATAAATGAATCCACTCCGCCTAATTATTTAAGTTTTCATGTTCCTACAACAATCGGCTGAGGTGGAGGTTTAGCTTCTATTTTTCAGTCAGGACTATTGCTTGAGGGCAGCACGGTGGCACAACTGGTAGAGCTGCTGCCTCTCAGCGAGCAGGTCCTTGGTTCAAACCCCAGTCCGGGGCCTTTCTGGGTTGAGTTTGCATGTTCTCTCCGTGCATGCGTGGTTTTTCTCCGGGTGCTCCGGTTTCCTCCCACAGACCAAAAACATGCATGTTAGGCTGATTGGTAACTCTAAATTGTCCCTAGGTGTGAGTGAGAAAGTGAATGGTTGTTTGTCTCGTTTGTCTCTATGTGGCCCTGTGATGGACTTGCGACCCGTCCAGGATGTACCCCGCCCCTCGCACAGTGATTGCTGGACATGGGCACCGGCGACCCCCGTGACCCAAAATGGAATAAACGGGTAAAGATAATGGATGGATGGATGGATGGATGGACTTTTGATTAAACAAATTATTAGTTATAATACTTTTGAGTCGCTGTCTCTAAGTCTATCCTATACAAAATGGAAATCAGAAAAGCCACTCTCACTAGTTGTTATGTATCGTCCACCAGGTGCTTAATCTTAGTTTTTCTCTGAATTCTCAGAATTCTTAACCAACTTACTACTAAATACTGATAAAATCATCATAATGGGTAATTTCAATATTCACGTAGCTGTTGAAAGTGATAGCGTAAGCATAGCCTTTAAAAGTTGAATATAATCAATTGATTTTACCAAAACGTCCACACATCTACTCATTCTCCTCATCACACTCTTGATCTGGTTCTTATTTATGGCATAGATATTAAGGACTTAGTAATACATCCTCATAATCCTGTTCTATCTGATCATTTTTAATAACTTTTGAGTTTACATTAAATGACTACACAGTCACTAAGAGTCAATTTCATCTTAGCAGGTGCTTATCAGAAATGCTGTTAGCCAAATTTAAAGATTTAAAGTTTCTCTTCCATCAATGCTTTCCTGTCTTGCAGAGTAATACATCAGAGAGCAGTTATTTAGATCATCTGGTTGAAAAATTTACAACTTCTTTGTAAACTTCACTGTATAAAACTACTCCTCTGAAAAAGAAAGTAATCAATCAGAGGAGACTGGCTCCTTGATTCAATTCTGATTTACATACAGACATCTAGAAAGCTGGAAAGAAAATGGCGCTCCACTACGTTGAATGATTGTACTTATCTTGGAAAGAGAGCCTGCTAATGTACAAAAAAGCGTTCTGTAAAGCTAGAACTTTATATTACTCATCTTTAATTGATGAGAATAAAAATAACCCCAGGTTTGTTTTCAGTACCATAGCTAGTCTAATGAAAAATCCCATCTCTGTTGATTCATTCCCTACAACTATAAGCAGTGATGAGTTCATGAGAGTGTTTAAAAATAAAATTATTTCAGTTAGGGAAAAAATTCAAACCAACATTCCTACTATCGCCCCTGACCCCTGTCAGACGAAACAATTTAAAAAATGTCACTAGAACCTGATTTATGTTTGAACTGTTTTTGTCCTGTTGAGCTCTTTGAATTGTTAAAAATAATAGCTTCATTCAAACCATCCACATGTCTGCTAGATCCCATCCCAACCAGACTGTTTAAAGACGTATTTCCCTTAATTAATAACCACATCTTGGATATGCTTAATTTGTCTCTAATTAATCGTTACATACCATAGCATTTTAAGATTGCTGTAGTTAAAATTTTACTTAAGAAACATAACCATGACTCTGGAATCCTAGCCAACTATAGACCTATATCTAATCTAACTTTCATCTAAAATATTCTACATCTACAAAGAAATAATCTGTTTGAAGACTTTCAGTCAGGGTTTAGAGCTCACCACAGCACTGAATCTGCGCAAGTGAAAGTTACTAATGATATTCTCATGGCCTCAGACAATGCACAGGTGTCTATACTGGTCCTGTTAGACCTCAGTGCTGCATTTGATACAGTTGATCATAATATTTTACTACAAAGACTTGAATATGATTTTGGGATTACAGGAACAGCTCTAAATTGGTTAAATCATATCTTTCTGATAGATTACAATTTGTAAATGTAAATAATAATAATAATAATAATAATACTTTATATATAAAGCCCTTTAAAACAACCACAGCTGCCACAAAGTGCTGTACATATAAAATCAAGAACATTTAAACACATAAAAACAGTTGTTAAAACATTAAGATCAATAAAAAATAATAAAAGCAGTACAGAGCAAAATTCAGTGTGTGCTAAAAGCCAGGGAGTAAAAATGTGTTTTTAAAAGAGTTTAAAACTGGACAGTGAAGCGACTTGTCTGATGGGAAGAGGGAGATCGTTCCACAGTCTTGGAGCAGAAACAGAAAAAGCTCTGTTCCCTCTGAGCCTCCGTTTAGACCTCGGCAACTCCAGGAGCAGCTGATCAGCTGATCTGAGGCACCGAGCAGGAGAGTATGGGTGAAGCAGCTCAGAGAGGTAGGATGGAGCAAGACCATTTAAACTTTTAAAAACAAATAAAAGAATCTTAAAATGAACTCTAAAATGAACAGGCAGCCAGTGGAGTGAAGCCAGAGTGGGAGTGATGTGCTCCCTCTTTTGAACTCCAGTTAGAAGCCAAGCAGCAGCGTTCTGGACCAACTGGAGGCGTCTGAGGGAGGACTGGCTGACTCCAAGGTAAATAGCGTTGCAGTAATTCAGCCGAGGTGACAAAGGCATGGGTTACTGTTTCCAGCTGTTGTTTTGTAAGGATGGTCTTTACCTTAGCCAGCTGTCTGAGGTGATAAAAACTGGTCTTGACCACCGCTCCAATCTGGGAATCTAATTTAAAATCACTGTCCATTTTAAAACCCAAGTTAGAAACAGTTTTCTTTACATGTGGTGCCAGAGGGCCCAGATCCACAGGGCAAGGTTCACAAGAGCCACTAGGACCAAACACCATCCCTTCTGTTTTCTTTTCATTGAAATTTAAGAAGTATAAAGACATCCAGGCTTTGATGTCTTCAAGACACAACAGAAGTGGCTTAACTGAGGGGGCATCTTTCTTTTTTAGTGGCACATAGATCTGACTATCGTCAGCGTAACAATGAAAAAAGATCCCATGCTTTCTAAGGATTGATCCCAATGGAAGCAGATAAAGGGAGAAAAGCAGGGGACCTAAAATAGAGCCCTGTGGAACCCCAAAACACAGAGGAGCAGTGGAGGATTCAGACCCAGCTATGTTGACAGACATGGTTCTGTCTGCCAGATAGATAATGAATCTTCTTCATACAATAAAGTTAGTCATGGAGTTCCTCAGGGTTCAGTGCTTGGACAGAAACTCTTTACCTTGTATATGCTTCCATTAGGTAAAATTATTAAACAGCATGGGATAAATTTTCATTGTTATGCTGATGACACACAATTATTTATGTCCATTAAACCCAATGAATCCAATCAGCTACTGAGACTACAAGCATGTCTTAAAGACATAAAAACCTGGATGACCCTTAATTTTCTCCTGTTGAACACAGACAAGACTGAGGTTTTGGTTTTTGGACCTGAGCACCTTAGGAATTATTTTTTCAGTCTTTCTCCCTCCTTAGATGGCATTAATCTGTCCTCCAGCTCTAATGTTAAAAATCTTGGTGTTATTTTTGATCAGGACATGTCTTTTATCCCCCACATTAAAAACGTTACTAGAACTGCCTTCTTCCACCTGCGTAATATCACTAAAATTAGAAACATCTTATCTAAAAATGATGCAGAAAAACTGGTCCATGCATTTGTCACATCTAGACTGGACTATTGCAATGGTTTATTATCTGGGTGTCCAAATATTCTTTAAGACGTCTTCAGTTGATCCAAAATGCTGCTGCCAGAGTCTTAACTGGAGTTAGTAGAAGAGATCATATCTCTCCAGTTTTAGCTTCTCTCCATTGGCTCCCTGTCAAATCCAGAATATAATTCAAAATCTTACTTCTAACCTAAAAAACTCTCAACAACCTAGCTCCATCTTATATTACAGATCCTATTGTTCCATATTTTCCTAACAGAGCACTTCACTCTCAGACTGCAGGTTTACTTGTGGTTCCTAGAGTTTCCAAAAGCAGAATGGGAGGCAGATCTTTCAGTTATCAGGCTCCTCTCTTGTGGAACCAACTTCCAATCTCTGTCCATGAGGCTGACACATTATCCTATCCAGTTTTAAGACTGGACTTAAGACTTTCCTTTTTGATAAATCCTATAGTTAGGGTTGGCTTGTTATGCTGCTATAGGCTTAGACTACTCAATGCAGTCTGCTCGTCAGATAAATAATGTTAAATTATTATTTTTATATATGAATGTGTTCTTGGTGTTCAGTGCCCTGAGACGACTTCTGTTGTGACTTGATGCTATATAAATAAACTGAATTGAATTAGTAGAAAGCAACAGAAAATAAATTGATTCAGTCACAGATACAGCTGTGCACAGATTTGTCTTAGCATGAGCCGACATTTTATCACATGCCCCTGAAAGACCATAATGTTTTTGCTGGTGTCTAAAACGATTTTAATAAAACCTTTTTTGAAAGTAATAATTAGATGTGCATCTAGGACTGATTATCTTTAGTAGTTTTTAGTAAAGTTTTTAGTCTTTTTAGTTTTAGTAGCTTACTTTAGACTATTCCCCATCTTATACTCCATATGCTAACTGATCACGTGAGGACTGGTTTTACCCACTGGAGTCAGCTCTGACATTCTGATAGCAACATGAACCACAGCACAGATTTTAAAGAAACTCCAAGTTGTACTTATACAAATGAATCCATCCAGCCATTATCTTTACCCGCTTCTTCCTTTTCGGGGCACAGGGGTCACTGGTGCCTGTATCCAACAGACACCCTGGACAGGTCTCCAGTCCATCTCAGGGACACATAGAGACAAACGAGACAAACAACCATTCACTCTCTCACTCACATCTAGGGACAATTTAGAGTTACCAGTCAGACTAACATGCATGTTATTGGTCTGTGGGAGGAAACCAGAGTACTCGGAGGAAACCTACGCAGCACAGAGAGAACATGCAAACTCAACCCAGAAAGGTGCCAGACTGGGATTTGAACCGGCAGCCTTCTCATTGAGAGGCAACAGCTCTACCAACTGTGGCATGTGCCACCTCTACAACTGAATTACATTTAGTATTTTCTCAATTCTCTAACTCGGTCAGTTAGACAGAAACTGAGACCAAATTTGGTGTGGTAGTAGTTGAAAGTAATTCACAACATATATTCAGAATGATAAATGATGAGTTGCATCTTTATTTAGAACTTTGGTGTTAACTGTTAGTCCACACTGTCTTTTACCAAAATATTTCATGAACCACTGGGCAAATTTTAATGAAACCATCAGTAAATCCATCCATCCATCCATCCATCCATCCATTATCTTTACCCGCTTATTCCATTTTGGGTCACGGGGGTCGCTGGTGCCCATGTCCAGCAATCACTGTGCGAGGGGCGGGGTACACCCTGGACGGGTCGCAAGTCCATCACAGGGCCACATAGAGACAAACGAGACAAACAACCATTCACTCTCTCACTCACACCTAGAGACAATTTAGAGTTACCAATTAGCCTAACATGCATGTTTTTGGTCTGTGGGAGGAAACCGGAGCACCCGGAGAAAACCCACGCATGCATGGAGAGAACATGCAAACTCCACCCAGAAAGGCCCCTGGACCGGGGTTTGAACCAAGGACCTGCTCACTGAGAGGCAGCAGCTCTACCAGTTGCGCCACCGTGCTGCCCTCAGTAAATACAGTGATCGTTAAATGTGCATCTACCAATGAATAACCTTTAAAGTTAACCCAATTTAACATGGTCACCACAGTTAAATGAACTTAGCCAACACAAAACTGGCTATAAATCAGTCAGTTTTACAAACGTTGAAATATGAGTGGTATTGCATGAGATTGCTCATACTGTTATTTTCAAGGTTTGACCAAATGTCTTTAATGTCCCTTTTCTTTAAAGATAAACAGTTTAAAGCTCGTGCATGAAATGGTAGGCAATATGCAATCCTTCAAGAAATGCTAGATCCTTTATCTAATTATTTCCCAAGGTTTTATCCTATTAAAAAAATATCTTTTGATCCACTGACCAGCTGTTTCTAATATGCTTCACTATCATTGGTGCATTTACCACCTTGGCTGGAAGCTAAGGCTGAAAAGACGTCTAAACATCTGCAGTCATCCTCGGTAAAATCAGGCTACATTTGACATGTAGGTCAAATTTAAACAGACATCTGAAATCAGATTTTATGAAATACAAATAGAAAAATATATATTTATATGAATGATGTTATTTCAGGTCTCAACTGACATAAATAATTTTGTCTTTTGATGTTTTAGGTTTGTGAAAGTAAATGAGTTGTTTATTTTTGCTCTCACCTGGATTTTCCAGGGAGAATCAGTGTTTTGCGTCTTGTTAGGTTGTCGCTGCAGCCTCCATCACCTGATGACAGCGTGATGAAGTGTACTGCAGCCAGCCAATCAGAAAGAGACTGCAGAGAAAGAGAAAAAAAGAGATCAAAACAAAAAACTTCACATTCAAAGTGCATGTTATACAGTATAACTCGAACTAAAACTGTTAGAAATCATTCTGGTTTGCATAAAATATTTGAAGCTTAATAAATAAAACTAATAAGAAATCCATGAAATACAAGATGTCTTGGATTTCATGTGAAACAAGTGAAATATTAGTTAAATATTTCTTTAATTTTTAAACATCTTAATTCATGTTCTTTAACACTTTTAGAATAATGTGTATGCTTAAATATATTTTATAAAATATTTATATATAGTTAAAAATGTTATTTAAAACAACAAGATATTACCTTTGTTATTTTAAAACTTTTTAAAAATCTTATAAAAACAGTTAATCATGATGAAAAGCACAACCAGCACTCAAAGGTTTTCATCACCTGTGGTTTATAGCGGATCACCAGCTTGTACTTTATGGATGATGGCAGGTTATCTACAGTAAATATAAGCCCCTCCCCATCCGTCACTTTGACAAATCCAAGACCAGTCGAAGTTTCTGACTGACCAGCAAATCTCAGCTGGGGAATGATCTGCAGGGTGTGACCTGGGTCCAGTGGGATGCCATTCTGCACAAACGTTACAGTGTGTAAAATAATTATCTATCACCGATCAGACTTTAGTAGGTCAAATATCTCACATTTGTCAGACTTCGGTGTCTGATGTGTCGAGTCTTTCGAATCAAAATCACTTTTCCATTGGAAAGTTGAAAGTCAAAGCCTTGGCTTCTAAAGTATTGCTCACATGGAGGTAAAAGGGCTGGATCCACCTAGAAACATACAAAATGTACAGAAACAGACAGAACACAATGAAGAGAAATCACACAGAGAAATCACATCGCTTCCAATAATGGCATCTCTTCCCTCGTCGCTCACTGCTACTGAGGGAATTCTGGTTATTTTCTTTTCTCTGCTTAGTAATATGCATATATTCAGCAGGTCATGGTCGAGGGGGTGAGAGCACACAGCTCCCCACACTTCCTGCCGGCGCGGGCAGGCATGTGGAGGCTTGCAGCAAGCTTGAGAGTGTCGGGCGGTATGGTCTGACGATGCAGCAGGGGTGCGCCCAGAAGGCCGACGCGTTGCCCGCATGGTGGCCTCTGCCCCACTTCTCCCACTGGAGTGGGTTGTCCTGGGAAGGCAAGGGCGAGGTCACAGGCAGCGCAGAGGAAGGTCTCCACCGGCAGTCACCCCCTGTGAGCACCGCAGGCTTGACAGGAGAAGGCGCTCCCCAGACGCACATCTGGAGGTGTGCGGACGGGGAAGGAAGGGGTGGGGAGGGTCATACGGATGATGAAGGTAGGGTCTCTGGAAGCACCTGATGCGTGTCGCGCCAGGCTGACTGTCAGGTCTGCTCTTAGGGGATGAAGGTGGGTGGACCACCTGCAATAGCACCAACCGCGTAGACGAGTGCGGGCGTGCGTGTCCCTGATTGATGACTGAGCAACCCTCAGACAGGCGTGGTCCTGGGAGGAACCCAAGAGGAACCCGGGACCATGGGGCCCATGCCCTGGAAAGTATTGTGGTTCCAACAGTGTCCAGTGAGCTCTCTCTGGCCCTTGAAAATCCGGGAGAGACGGTGTAAATCTCGCACCATGGGAGGAGACGGGTGGATTCAGCCTGGGTGTCTTCCTGCCTGGCTGTGGCTGCAGTCTGGTGCTTGGCTGGGGGTCTGGGCTGTGGGGGGCTGTGGGTGGGGGGGATTTTGCTCAGGTGGCTCTGCACTGCTGGCTCTGGGGTGTCTGGGTGTGTTAGGCATGTGCCCTCCCTTGCGTCGGGTACTCTCATTGTGGGTGTTGCTGTGGTGGACTGGTCGGTCCTTTTGTGGGGGTGGAGGTGCACTTTCAGTCATCGTGGTGCGCTATCTGCGGCTGTTTGGGCACTCCTGGCTGATTGTCGCTGCTGGAGTTTGGTGGCCTCTTTGGTCTGGGGGCTGGGTGTTGAGCTGGGGATTGGGTAAGGGGTCTGGATGATCTCTGGGGGGGTTGGGTTGCTGGCCCTGGTTCTGCTCGGTCCTCAGGGCTATACATCGGTCCGTGGCCTGGGTCCCTGGTGGTGCAGCTGCCTCCTGCTCCTGGATGAATGCACTGGAGCCTCCCTCCCCTGGTGGATCTCGGCGAATGGGGGTTTCTATTGGGGTCAGTGGGGGAGCTGGCCCCCTGGGAGGGCATTGCCACCTTAGTTGTTCCTCCACATCCTAACGTCTTCCTCCGCACACTCCATCACACCACCACTCAAGCAGGGCCTTGGGGTTCAGGTGCACTACTGGGCTGCGGGGAGGATCCTCCATCTCTGTGGTTCATGGAGACCTGGGCCCCAATTTTATTAAACAACCTAGACACTCACATATAACATTCTCATGACACATGCATATATAGGGTCTGGAGTGGGCACACGGCGGCATATAGGGGGTGGGATGTGTAATCATTCTCACCCCCGGGACCTGTGCCCACTCTCATATGTAGCATGTAGACATTTAGGGTTCTGGGCAAGGGTTGGGGAGGTGAACGGACACTGCCTGCTTTCTGGGGAGGGGGTGGGTCTGTGCCAGTCGCTGCCTCATCCACCCATTTTAAACGCACTATATAACAACATGTATCAACACCTTATTTGAGTGGGAGGAGGGAGGAGTTGGGTCTTCCTGTTTTCCTTAAACCCTCGTTCTCTGTTTGACATTTGGGGTCGGGGCAGGGAGGGGGGTAGGATGCCTGGTTGGAGTCTGGGCTGTGGGTGGATGTTGGGCCTTGGGGGGCTATTGGGGGTAGGGCCAGTGCTCCGGTTCTTCCTGGGTTGTTTGGATCATTTGATCAGGGTTCCTGGTTGCAGTGGCCGGCCCTTTGGCTGGGGTGGCTGCCGGGTTCTGGCGGAGGGTCGGCTGTGGTTGTGCGTGTGTGGTCTTTGGTGGTGCATGACGGCGGTCGGGGGCGTGGCTTCCCTTTGACAGGGTGCTGGCTGGTCGGCCTGATGTGACATTTGCGGTGGGGGGTGCTGTGTGTGTGGGGGTGTGCATGGGTGGTGTGCCGGGGCCTCTCCGAGTCTGTGGTGTGGGGCTGTAGGTAAGCATTGGTGTGCTGGGCCAGCCTTCCTTGGCTGTTGTTCCCTGCTGCTCTGGCCCCCGGCCTGGGGCAGGCTTGCGGTCGCTGTCGGGTTGGTGGGGCACATGAACGCCCCCCCATTTGGTGTTTTGTACTCCCCTCCGGCGGTGGGCCCCCCTGCCGCCGGTGCATTGGCAGCTCTCAGCAGCTGGGGCTGGGTAGTGGGGTGTGTGCGGGCATGCCCTGGTGGCTGCCTGCTGGGGCCTGGGTGCCTTGGCTCTGCCGGGCCTCTGTTGGGGGGTGGTATGACCTCGGGACTCAGGGCTCGGTGTCCATGGCCAGATCTACTCTGGAGGGGTGGGTTGCCGGGCCGGGGGTGGGTGGGGGGGGGCTGTGGACTTGTCGCTGCAGCCTCCTGGGGTTTCTGCATTGTGGTGGCTGGGGATCGCCTGGGGCTTCCCTTTGTTTCTTTCTCTGGGGAGTGCGGGTGTCCCTGTTGCGGGACTCCTGCAGTTTTGGGCTTGGGGGCTGCTGTGTGTCTGTGATTCCAGTCTTTCCTGTGATACCATCATGTCCTGTGGAGATGGGTCTGTGGGTCCCCACTTCAACTAATGAACATTTTTATGGATAAACCTTATAGTGACAAGCTTGCTCACACAGGTGTTTAGATCCAGGTGTTTATCAGATATACACTCAGTTGGGTTGTGGTGGCCATCAAATGTATCTTGTATTACCATGTACTGTATAAAATACTTTCTAATGATGTTACAAGTATCATTATATATGTTTGTTGTTGTGGTTTCTCAGTTTTGTCTTGTCTTTTTTTTCCCGCAGGTCTAGAGGCAGACTTCAATGATGTTGATTTGTGTTCTCTTTATCCCTCTCTCTCTCTCCTCTATTCATATCTCCTTCTTTACCTTTTAACCCTTCTCTCACTTTTCTGCTTCATCATCTTCTTTGTTTTTCATCCCCATGTCCATTACATCTGAAACAAGCCCATAGCAAATTCTAATAAAATTTAATTTTCGTATCAAGTGGAGCATTAAGGCCAGCCATAATGCTCTGCTTGTGAAAGTAAATCTGTTGGGCATCACTTTGACACTCAGACAATAATTCTAAGTGTCAAATGCCGGACAGGACAAGGGAAAAAAAAACAGTCAACTTTAGCATTTTTGGTATATAACAAGACAATATGTAAGCAAAGACTTGAAAATAAGAAAATAAAGTACCGGTACACAATATAGATTAAAAGTGCCAACTCTCGCATTACAATTTTTTTTCTTCTTCTTTCAGCTGGTCCCTTTGTCAGGGGTCACCACAGCGAACTAAGTCACATGAAGACTTGGCAATTATTTTTACGCTGGATGCCCTTACTGATGCAACCAGAGGCCACAGAGCTACCACAGCCCTCTGTGTGGAACAGAGAGAGCTGCTATCTAGGGCGCCCGAGGGAGTAGATGGGGGGTTAAGGGCCTTGCTAAAGGGCCCAGAATGGGGCAAATGAGGGTGGAGACAGGTGCGGGTGCTTGACCAATCCCACCCACATTTTGATGTTGTCAGTACTGGGAGTTGAATCAGCGATCTTCCGATCACAGGCCCACTTTCTCTAACTTCTGCACTACCACTCTACCACTCACAACTCTAACATGACAAATAAATAAAACTTTTGGTATTTGTGTATTTAAAAACAAAAAGCCTGCATATCAGAGTCAGAGTTTCTTTATTGTCATTCGCACCTCATGTGGTACATGTGGTGGAGCGAAATTATGTACACAAGGTCCCAGTTACATCCAGCAATAAAATGTATAAGAAAAACAGTAATAACATCTAAGATATGAACTAAGAAAAACATCAATTAAATATACACTAAGCACTCATAACATAAAACATTGAACATCAGCACAAACATGAACATGAGTCTGTGAGCAGATGTGCACGCATGAACACATCAACATTGAAACAGATCAGCAGCAACATGAAACAGATCAGCAGCAACATGATATGGTTTTTCACAGTGATTATTCTAGTTAGAGATTCATGAGTTTAACAGCCTCAGGGTAGAAGCTGTTCCTCAGTCTAGTGGTTCTACACTTAATGCTCCTTAACCTCCTTCCTGAGGGGAGTGGGGCAAAAAGTGTGTGTGCTGGGTGAGTGATGTCCTTCATGATGCAGGTGGCCCTCTTCCTGCATCTAGACGTGTAGATGTCTGTAATGGTGGGGAGGCTGATTCCGACAGACTTCTGTGCAGCCTTCACCACTCTCTGCAAAGCTTTTCTTTCTGCAGCTGTGCAGCCTCCATGCCATACGTTGATGCTGGAGCACAGGATGCTCTCCACTGCACACCTGTAGAAGGAGGTGAGGACTGAGCTTCCCAGACCAGCTCGCCTCAGCCGTCTGAGGAAGTAGAGTCTCTGATGAGCTTTATTGATCAGGCTGGTGGTGTTGTTGCTCCAGCTGAGGTTGTCATTCATGTGTACACCCAAGTACTTGTAGCTGGAGACCACTTCCACTGCATATCCACTTATGTTCAGGGGGGTGTAGATGTTTTTGTTCCTTCTGAAGTCCACAATCATCTCCTTTGTCTTCTTCACATTGATGTGAAGGTTATTCTCTTTGCACCAGCTCTCCAGGTGTTCCACCTCTTGCCTGTAGCTGGACAATCATACGTGAGCAGAGTAAACAGGAGGGGGCTCAACACACATCCCTGAGAAGAGCCAGTGCTGAGGGTTATGGTGGAGGAGGAGAAGTTGTGGATCCTCACTAACTGTGGTCTGTTTGTTAAAAAGTCTAGTACCCAGTTGCAAATGGAGGGGCTTAGTCCTAGTGTGGATAGCTTGTCCATCAGGGTTTGGGGGATCATGGTGTTGTAGGTGGATGTGAAGTCCACAAAGAGCATATTCAGATTGTTGTAAGTTTAACCCTATTCCTGGAATGCTGTTATATTCCATCTCAAGAAAACAACAGCTCTGTGAAGACTTTGGTCATCGACTTCTCACTATCCCAAAATAGCCCTCTCTGCTTGGTCTGAAAACCTCACTCTGTAAATGGGCTTTTGAATCCCTTTCAGGAAAACAGCAGACCATTTGTGTTGGTAGTAGCACATCATGCTTTAACATACTGAGTGAAGGTTCTTCAGGGTTCTGTACTCAGTTCTTTACATTTAATTCACCTTACACATGAGTGTACAGCTAAACTCCGCACAAATCAGCTCAATAAATCTGCTGATGATTCAAAAGTGGTGGAAATCATCAGAAATTATTTAACATATTCACAACCTTTTGTTGGGACACTATTACTATTAAAAACATTTTTACTAGCTACACTTTCATGATATAGCAGAAACAATATGTTCAATATGTAGCATATATGGAGTGGAATCAGGGCAGCACGGTGGCACAACTGGTAGAGCTTCTGCCTCTCAGCGAGCAGGTCCCCGGTTCAGTGATTTTGAACAAGAAAGACTATCATGAGAAAGTTATGACACTCCTTAGTGACTTAACCACTTATGAACCTCTGAAAAGAGATCCAGGAAGTGGTTACAAGAAGAAGTTAATAGATTGCCTGAAAAATTTGAAGCAGGACAAGGCTACTGACCGTATTCTGTACCACAGACTGTACCCAGGGGAGGCCACACCTAGTCTGTATGGTTTACCTAAAATCCACACAAAAGGTGTACCTTTAAGACCAATTGTTAGCGTGATTAACTCGGCCACTTACATTGTTTCCAAATATCTGGCGTCTGTACTCATCCCTTTAGTTGGCAGCTCAGAACACCACATACAGAACACCATGCACTTTGTGGATAAGGTGAGGGATGTCATCATGGAGACTGATGAAACAATGGTCTCTTTTGATGTCACATCACTCTTTACGTGCATTCCTGTTGATGATGCAGTAGAGGTGGTCAGTTTAAGGTTAAAATCAGACACCACTCTGAGCAGCAGGACCACGCTTTCCACAGAACAGCTGTGTCACCTCTTGAAACTGTGCCTGCAGTCAACCTACTTCACATATGGGGAGCAATATTATAGGCAGAAACATGGGTGTGCTATGGGGTCTCCAGTTTCTCCTATTGTTGCCAACCTGTACATGGAGGAGGTAGAAAAGAGAGCCTTGAGATCCTTTTCAGGGACACCACCAAATCATTGGTTCAGGTATGTTGACGACACCTGGGTTAAAATTAAATCTCAGGAAGTCCAACATTTTACTGACCATATCAACTCTGTGGATAAATACATCAAGTTCGCACGAGAAGATGTAAAAAATGGCAGGTTGGCTTTCTTGGACTGTGAGATATCAGTCTCTGATAGAGGACATTTACAAACCGAGGTGTACCGCAAACCCACCCACACAGACCAGTATTTGCAGTTTGACTCCCATCACCCTTTGGAGCACAAGTTAGGAGTCATCAGGACTCTGTATCACAGAGCAGACAGCATCCCAACTAACTCAGGGGCCAGGCAGAAGGAGAAATCCCACACAAGACAGGCTCTAGAGCAATGTGGATATCCTAACTGGGCCTTCCTGAAAGCAGAGAAGAAACCCAAACAGGACTCCAGTCAGCCATCAGGTGAAAAGGAGGAACCCAGACACAGACCAGTGGTCATTCCGTATGTTGAGGGAGTATCAGAGAAACTGAGATTTTCTAAAGACAACGTCCCAGTGGCTTTTAAACCCCAAAATACATTATGGCAAAGACTGGTTCATCCAGTCCCCCAGCACAGAGTAATACTGTGTATGCTGTTCAGTGTCAGGAGGGCTGTGATCAGTTTTACATCGGGGAAACTAAACAGCCACTGGCCAAAAGGATGGACCAGCACAGAAGATCAACATCATCAGGCCAGGACTCTGCGGTCTACACTCATCTCCAGGCCAGCGGTCACTCTTTCAGGGATGAAGATGTTCACATCCTGGACAGAGAGGAACGATGGTTTGAGAGAGGAGTAAAGGAGGCCATCTTTGTGAAAATAAATCGTCCATCGTTAAACAGGGGTGGAGGCCTCCGTGTTCCACTGTCCCCCTCTTACAATGCTGTTATTGCTAGTATCACTCAGCCCCCTGTGAATAGAAAACAGCCATCAGTGTGCTAATGATCCAACGTTAGGCTGTTGGTCCTCCTTGATTATGTGAGCAGATGGTTTTGGTTTCTACAATTTTTATTTTTTTTGGCTTTGTTTTGTTTTTTGAATGTCCAGAGGACCATACTTAACTTTTTTAGATTTTTCTGCCTGGATTATTGAGCATGCATCTGGATCAAACAAATAAATGAAACTGAGGTAGATAATTTTCATTTATCATGCTATTAATTGATTTTTTTGTTTATCGCCACAGGCTTACACACCATTGTGGTTCAGTGTTCTCCTGGTGGTGGACTCATGAACATTAACATCAGCCAATGTCAATTAGGGACAAGTGCTGCAAATTAGCTCATGCTATAAGCACCATGATACAGGCATGGGACTGCTGCTTTATTCAGTTTGTCTATGTTATTGTGTGTCAGTCCCTATCAAATAAACTTAATAAATAAATGTGAGAGAGACCTTCAGCTGCTTAGAAGTTACCCTGGCTCCTTTGTGACCTCACCCATCATGTCTGGCTCTTGGAGTGATCTTTGTAGGTCCACCACTCCTGGGTAGGGGAACAATGGTCTTAAATTTCCTCCATTTGTACACAATCTGTCTGACTGTGAATTGGTGGAGTCCAAACTATTTAGAGATGGTTTTGTAACATTTTCCAGCCTAATGAGCATCAACAACTTTTTCTGAGGCCTTCAGAAATCTCCTTTGTTCCTGCCATGATCCACTTCCAGAAACATGTTGTGAAGAGCAGACTTTGATAGATCCTGTTCTTTAAATCAAACAGGGTGCCCCCTCACACCTGATCATCATCCATTCATTGAAAACACCTGGCTCTAATTTCACCTTCAAATTAACTGTTAATCCTAGAGGTTCACATGCTTTTACCACTCACAAATATGTAAAATTGGATCACTTTCTTCAGTAAATAAATGACCGAGTATAATAGTTTTGTCTCTTTTGTTTAACTGGGTTCTCTTTATCTACTTTTAGGACTTGTGTGAAACTCTGATGATGCTTTAGGTTACATTTATGCAGAAATACAGAAAATTCTAAAGGCTTCACAAACTTTCAAGCACCACTCCATGTTGCACAAGATTTTAGTAAAATCCAGCACTAAAATTAGTATGTCTGGCTTGATCTGCATGTGACATTGTAAAGTTAGAATTTTGTCATTTTAAATATTTAGACTTGATCAGATCTCAGGTTACTACAAATGTGAAGTAGACCTGATACCGTCTCATCCAACAAGCACTGATACAAACCAAAGAAGAAGAGGGGGGTGAAGGAGGAGGAGGAGGAGAAGAAGAAATTCCTCTTAACAGTGGGGCAGCAAGTTCTGCCTCATACAGAAAGAAGATCAGAGGAGGCAGAAAATATCCAGGTGCAGGGTCAGAGCAGCGCCGACCAATCATGTTGGGTAAACAATGGCACTGTCCAACCTCCGAAGAACACCTGTGTAAACAGGAGAAACAAAAGGTTCAGCAAAAAAGATTTTTCAAGATTTTGGCCATCCAAAAAATATGAAATATGTCATTAAGTCATCCATATAAGAGCTTCCAATAGTAAGGAGACAAAAAATGGGTTCCAGACAGGCTCTCAGGTATAAATACTGGACTACAAAATGGTCTCATATAATCCACATTTTCTACCAGAGCCCGACCAATATATCAGTAGGGCCGATAATTTAGACCGATATAGACGTTTGGGGACCTATCATTATCAATACCATGTAGCATATTTTGCTGAACAAAGCATGGTTAAGTTTATTTTAACTGATTTATAAAACAAATCCACAGTAATAAATTCTCTTCAGTCCTCCAACCCGCTTGTTTTTAGCTGCTTTGGAAACAGTTCCTGTTTTAAATGTGCTATACAAATAAATTTGACTTGATTTGACTTGTCATTAGCTATAATAATAATAATAATAATGTCATCACAATGTCAGCACTGTATGTTTCCATACAATGGCAAAATTAGTCTCTGCATTTAACCCATCCACCAGCTATGTTAGTAATGTTACTTTTGTCGTCCTCAATGAAATGAATTGTTTATCTGAAATCTTTACTTCTCTGCAAAAAAAAAAAAAAACACTATTGCAGTCATTACTAATTAGACCTTCACCATACATGACTGACTGTTTAAACAATGAATAGGGAAGGAAGTTTCTTTGTTTAATTTATATTTATGTAACACACTTGATTATGGTGAATGGTGGAGGATAGAAAATGCGAACGCACATTAGGAGCTGTTTTTATGATTAGTGCACCACTTGTAAACCTAGCCCCTCCCTGGGCTGCCACCTTACCGTGGTGGAGGGGTTTGAGTGTCCCAATGATCCTAGGAGCTATGCTGTCAGGGGCTTTATGCCCCTAGTAGGGTCACCCATGGCAGACAGGTCCTAGGTGAGGGACCAGACAAAGTGCAGCCCAAAGACCCCAATGATGAGAAACACAAATGGACCTAGTGTTCCCTTGCCCGGACGTGGGTCACCGGGGCCCCACTCTGGAGCCAGGCCTGGAGGTGGGGCACGCGGGCGAGCGCCTGGTGGCCGGGCTTTTACCCATGGAGCTCGGCCGGGCACAGCCCGAAGAGGAGACGTGGGTCCCCCTTCCCATGGGCTCACCACCTGTGGGAGGGGCCAAAGGGGTCGGGTGCAATGTGGGATGGGTGGTGGCCGAGGGCAGGGACCCTGGCGGTCTGATCCTCGGCTACAGAAGCTGGCTATTGGGACGTGGAATGTCACCTCACTGGTGGGGAAGGAGCCTGAGCTGGTGTGTGAGGCTGAGAGGTTCCGGCTAGAAATAGTCGGACTCACCTCTACGCATGGCTCTGGCTCTGGAACCAGTTTCCTTGAGAGGGGCTGGACACTCTTCCACTCTGGAGTTGCCCCTGGTGAGAGGCGCCGAGCAGGCGTGGGCGTACTTATTGCCCCCCAACTTGGTGCCTGTGTATTGGGGTTCACCCCGGTGAACGAGAGGGTGGCCTCCCTCCGCCTACGTGTGGGAGGACGGGTTCTGACTGTCGTTTGTGCCTATGCACCAAACGGCAGTTCAGATTATCCACCCTTTCTGGAGTCCTTGGAGGGGGTACTGGAAAGTGCACCTTCTGGGGACTCCCTTGTTCTGCTGGGGGACTTCAATGCTCATGTGGGCAATGACAGTGAGACCTGGAGGGGTGTGGTTGGGAGGAACGGCCCCCCTGATCTGAACCAGAGTGGTGTTCTGTTGTTGGACTTCTGTGCTCGTCATGGATTGTCAATAACGAACACCTTGTTCAAGCATAAGGGTGTCCATATGTGCTCTTGGCACCAGGACACCCTAGGCCGCAGTTCGATAATCGACTTTGTCATCATCTCATCTGATCTGCGGCCACATGTCTTGGACACTCGGGTGAAGAGAGGGGCGGAGCTGTCAACTGATCACTACCTGGTGGTGAGTTGGCTCCGATGGTGGGGGAGGATGCCGGTCAGACCTGGCAGACCCAAACGTATTGTGAGGGTTTGCTGGGAACGTCTGGCAGAGTCTCCTGTGAGACGGAGTTTCAACTCCCACCTCCGGGAGAAGTTTGAACATGTTCCGAGGGAGGTGGGGGACATTGAGTCTGAGTGGACCATGTTTCGTGCCTCTATTGTCGAGGCGGCTTACCAGAGCTGCGGCCGCAAGGTTGTCGGTGCCTGTCGTGGCGGCAACCCTCGAACCCGATGGTGGACACCGTCGGTGAGGGATGCTGTCAGGCTGAAGAAGGAGTCCTATCGGGCCTTTTTGGTCTGTGGGACCCCGGAAGCAGCTGATGGGTACCGGCAGTCCAAGCAACATGCGGCTCGGGTGGTTGCTGAGGCAAAAACTCGGGCATGGGAGGAGTTCGGAGAGGCCATGGAGAACGACTTCCGCACGGCTTCGAGACGATTCTGGTCCACCATCCGGCGTCTCAGGGGGGGGGAAGCGGTACGCCACCAACACTGTTTATAGTGGGGGTGGTGTGCTGCTGACCTCAACTCGGGATGTTGTGGGTCGGTGGGCGGAATACTTTGAAGACCTCCTCAATCCCACCGGCATGTCTTCCACTGAGGAAGCGGAGCCTGGGGACTCTGGGTCGGGCCCTCCAATCTCTTGTGCTGAGGTCACCGAGGTGGTTAAAAAGCTCCTCGGTGGCAGGGCCCCAGGGGTGGATGAGATCCGCCCAGAGTTCCTTAAGGCTCTTGATGTTGTAGGGTTGTGTTGGCTTACGCGACTCTGCAATATTGCGTGGACATCGGGGGAAGTTCCCCTGGATTGGCAGACCGGGGTGGTGGTCCCCCTATTCAAAAAGGGGGACCATAGAGTGTGCTCCAACTACAGGGGAATCACGCTCTTAAGCCTCCCTGGTAAGGTCTATTCGGGGGTTCTGGAGAGGAGGGTCCGTCGGATAATTGAACCTCGGATTCAGGAGGAACAATGCGGTTTTCGTCCTGGCCGTGGAACACTGGACCAGCTCTACACTCTCAGCAGGGTCCTGGAGGGTGCGTGGGAGTTTGCCCAACCAGTCTACATGTGCTTTGTGGACTTGGAGAAGGCGTTCGACCGCGTCCCTCGGGGGGCCCTGTGGGGGGCCCTGTGGGGGGTACTCTGGGAGTATGGGGTACCGGGCCCTTTGATACGGGCTGTTAGGTCCCTGTATGACCGGTGTCAGAGCCTGGTCCGCATTGCCGGCAGTAAGTCGGGCTTGTTCCCGGTGAGAGTTGGACTCCGCCAAGGTTGCCCTTTGTCACGATTCTGTTCATAACTTTTATGGACAGAATTTCTAGGCGCAGCCAAGGTGTTGAGGGGATCCGTTTTGGTGGCCTTAGGATTGCGTCTCTGCTTTTTGCAGATGATGTGGTCTTATTGGCTTCATCAGATCGTGATCTACAGCTTTCGCTGGAGCGGTTCGCAGCCGAATGCGATGCGGCCGGGATGAAGATCAGTTCCTCCAAATCGGAGGCCATGGTCTTGAGCCAGAAAAGGGTAGAGTGCCCTCTCCGGGTCAGGGAGGAGGTCCTACCCCAAGTGGAGGAGTTCAAGTATCTTGGGGTCTTGTTCACGAATGAGGGAAAAATGGAGCGTGAGATCGATAGGCGGATAGGTGCAGCGTCTGCAGTGAAGCGGGCGCTGTACAGGTCTGTCATGGTGAAGAGAGAGCTGAGTCAAAAGGCGAAGCTCTCAATTTACCGATCGATCTACGTTCCCACCCTCATCTATGGTCACGAGCTTTGGGTTGTGACCGAAAGAATGAGATCTCGGATACAAGCGGCCGAAATGAGTTTTCTCCGCAGGGTGTCTGGGCTCTCCCTTAGAGACAGGGTGAGAAGCTCGATCATCCGGGAGGGACTCGGAGTAGAGCCGCTGCTTCTCCACGTCGAGAGGAGCCAGTTGAGGTGGCTTGGGCATCTGTTTAGGATGCCTTCTGGACGCCTCCCTGGTGAGGTGTTCCGGACACGTCCCACCGGAAGGAGGCCCAGAGGAAGACCCAGGACATGCTGGAGGGACTATGTTTCTCGGCTGGCCTGGGAACGCCTCGGGATTCCCCCGGAAGAGCTGGCCCAAGTGGCTGGGGAGAGGGAAGTCTGGGCCTCCCTACTTAGGCTGCTACCCCCGCGACCCGACCCCGTATAAGCGGAAGAAATGGATGGATGGATGGATTGTAAACCTAGTGTGGGACTAGCCTAGTGTGGATCTGATTGGCTTAGCTTCATGGTTGCTAACAGCTGCGCTAAATAAACAAGCCCTGCTCCACTCGCTGTTTTCTTGGATTTTTGGGGGTGGACAAAGCTAAAAAATGTTCAGCTTTTATGTCGGTTATCAGCGGCCGCCTGTTCCTCCCAATATTGGTATCAGCAATAGCCAAAATTTCCATATCGGTTGAGTTCTATTTTCTACAGCTATATATTATTGTGTTGCATTCATACATTAAAAGACTACTTACCTTAAATAAAGTATGATTACATAAACAAATTTATTTATAGTCTTGAAATTAGTTGTGGGAAATATTAAGAAATATTTGCTATTTCTTCAGCTTTTTGACTTTTTTGTCTTCATGGCCTTGTTATTGTGTTCCTTTTTTCGTCTTTCAGTTAGTAACTATCTAACATCTGAAACCCTTAAAATTGTGTAGAACAACCACTGTTGGTTTTCTACATGTTTATGAATTAATTTCATAGTTAAACAATTTTTAATAAAGTTTTTAAGATAAAGAGGATAATCTGTTATTCTGACATGTATAATTAAATTAGACAAAACTACTTCTCATCAAGCATCAATATCTCCTTCTAACTCTCAGTATTTAAACAGTAAAATGAACTCATACATGTTGTTGAGAGCTCCACCAATGTCACAGTCACAGGGCGAACATCTGAACACAGAGTTTCCCAAACCCCAGAAACCTGCCTAAAAATAAAAAAACACAAAACTTAATGAGAGATTACTGATTTCTGTCCTCACATATCAGATTTTCAAAACATTATACAGGTCACTCCCATCAGTCCACTTGTGGACAACAACTCAATGGGACATTAAACAAACTGTTTTAACTCTGGTAACTTTCCTTTTATTTTGTAATTATATACTATTTTAACTTTATGAACTGTGCTTCTAATGTTGAACTTACCACACACTGATCGCACAGCGGCCCACTTGCCAAAGGCTCACATTCACAACTTCCTGTCAGTGGATCACATGACCCGACACTTCCTAAGCTATGACACTCACACTCTGGAGAAGACAAAAACAAATAAATCAGAGCTGAACAAACCAAATACCGTAATTTCTGGACTATAAATCACTACTTTTTTCACATGCTTTGAACACTACGGCTTATACAGTGATGTGGCTAATTTATGGATTTTTACAGGCTAAAAAGCTTAATTCCGCCAAAACATATAGCCTCTTTACACCCGGGCGCTCACATAGCTGCCCAAAACATGGATCTCTTGAAAATGAGTCTACGTGGTTCAGTGAGACTATCTGTATAAATTAAGGTAAATAATAATAATTAAAAAAATAGACCAAAGGAATTATCATTAAACCTTCATTTTAACAGGAAGAAATCCATTGAGATTATTAATCTCTTTTACAAGGATGTCCTGGGAGTCCAAAATTACCAAACAGGTCACAGTGGACCAATGAAACTTTGAAATAATCAAATGCAATCACACTAAATTTTTCACATCAGCCATTTTGCGCTTCATGCACACACCGTCATCATGGATAACACATGAAGAAATGCATATGATGCAGCTTTCAAGTTAAAGGTAATCGAGCTGGCTGTTGTAGAAGGAAATAGAGATGCTGCACGTAAGCTAGGAAAGCACTAGCCTAGCGGCAAGAAATTGGTTACCAAAACTGGCAGCATGCGAAGTCTGCTAGTGGATCCTGACAGCGGAGCAGTGTCAAAAAAAAATCCCCTATTACTGACAGGTTTCGAAAGGCTGGACAGCTGCATTATGAAGAGGACAGCACAAGCTCAAGCGCAAATTTGCCTCGAGATGAAAGTGACATTGAGAGCAACAACAAAAGAGAGACTGAGGATGTTGTCACTTACCAAAGTTTTGGATTCAATATAAGCCAGACACAGGAGTGCAAAAATTAACAGTTTTTATTAATAAGGCTGCTGGTAGCTGCAGAGGGAGGCCTTTAATGCTATGGAGAGTGGGGCAATGAAAGTTTGTGGTCCAAAGGGCAATCCAAAAGGGTGATCCGTGAGTCGAGGTCTTAGGCTGAAGAGGAGGTCGTTACTGTGGTCAGAGAGGCAGAACAGAACTAGATGAGGAGCAGGCAAAAAACGGGAAATCCAGAAGGCAGGCATGAGGTCAATAATCCAGAGAACAAGGCTTGAGGTCTAGGCATGAAAC